GGACGAGAGTTCTTGATAAACCTTTTATTTATAGCGCTTGGTGACGAATGCGTTCACTAAAGATTAAAGACGTCAGCCCATGACGTCTTTTTAAATTGAATGTTTTAGTATCTTAGGTTATCCCATTTAGCTATGCTGGATAGGGCAATTTGTGAAGATACATCTGGCTGCTTTGATCTCTTACTCAGCATCTCCTAAAACACAAGCTTATTAACACAGCAACAAGCCTTTGGTAAAAATTCTCTAAATAATGTGTGAATAGATAAATGTGGAATTAGAAGAGGCATTATATTCTTACAACTAATTATTGTTGCATTGATTAAATATGCTCAGTTATAGTCTAAGAGAAAAGGCATGCTTGTTTATGTATTGATGAGTAGTCACTTTCTTTGAAGAAAGCGGAATTTAACTAGGAATAATAAAAGAGTCTACTTCTGTGCCTAATTCGATATTTTTACAGATTGGCCCTAGTTTATTTATAATAATAAAGGTACAGATCCTAGAGTTGGATACAGCATATCATCTAAACCTCAGAAAATAGTTTGTTGTAACCACTGCTTTAGGGTTTCTTAATTATACTAATGTGGTTTGTAGGTCAGCCCTATTTAACACATTGTAAAATATCATTACATGAAGGTTAGCCTAATCATGCAACCAACTTTTTAAGAAGAAGAATAATTTATAAACAAATATTGTTAACAAGATTTTACCATAGCCTTTTTCTTTGTCTTGCCTCTTGCCCGTGAGTTTTATCGTTTTAGTGTTTTCCTTTATTCCATAGCCAACAGTAGCTAAGAAACCATCGGTAGAACGATGCAATTTCCCCATTATCTGGGCAATTGTTGCTCCTTTGTTTACACGAATGCCTTCATGTATCAGTAAATTTACCTCGTAACTATCATCTTTACATGTACTTGCCAAAAGCGCTGTCATACTGCCCTGTAATGAGAAGTCGTAAGAAACACTGCATTTTAAATATATTAAAATAAAAAACTAATATTACTTATGTTTACTTAAGGGAAGCACCTCTTCATCTATCAATACTTATATCTAAGGGGTTTTCTATTTCACAGACCATATGATACCTTATTGCATATATTGACCATTTCGTTCTTATAGATATTAAATTCATAATTTATCCTTAGTAGCACATATTTTTTTGGTTCTTCTGCAATTCAAGTGACTTGATTAGTCAAGTTCGGAATTATTTATCAACGGATTATTAAGGGATTTGCAAATTCCAATTACTATGACTGCTTATTAAATATATTTAACTTAGTCCTACAGTAAAAGCATCATTTAATAATATTTGCAAATGCAACTTGAAAACAAAGAAACAAATATGAGTAAATTGAATGTTGGTTTACTCCATCAAACCATATGTACTGCATGTATAATTGCTTTTGAAGGGTCCACTTACTGGTTTTACTATCGAGGTCTCAATTTGAAGCCCGGCCTCCATCATTTTGTAGCTTGAATAGAAGAAAACTTCCATTGCCCAAGTGAAAGCCCTTTTAGCATTGGAATTAGCATTTCTACCGTTCACTATCATTGAAATTCCAAATGTCACTGTGCGATTATGATCGTCGATTTCCTTCCGAAGGGGCTTCACATCGACTTGCATTGCTCGGAAAGGTGTGGTCAGCTTTATCTGAAGGTCGCCTTCATCTTTGACTATGTGCTCATATTTAAAAGTTTCACCCTTTTTCCTATTCCAACTGGCCTCTACCTCAAATTCGCGTGGCCCTGGAGAACTTAGGCCAAAGCGGCCCTCACGAGAGTTGCCATCTGCCATGTATAGAATCTCACAAGGTTCACTCAGTTTCAGAAGACGATTGAATACACAGGAAGCGTTGGTACTCCACCTAACCTTCCCGGAATCTTCCTCTTGAAGTAAGATGTCATGCTGAACTTTGACACCGGATTGGATGGAACGGTACAGGGCTCTTGATATCAACTTTCGCTCATTCATTATGCCCAGAAAATCCAGCTCCGCGCCTCCTACCCCTGGCATATTGTAGGTTAGCTCTCCATATAGCTTGGTTCTGTAAGCTCTATCACTGGAACCTAAATATGGCTCATCTCTTGTCTGCTTTAAAAGGTTCTTAACGCAATCGCCAGTCACTTCAGCTATAAGATGGCCGCTCTGTCGCCATCCTGAAAGTGAGCTAAAATTTAATTGCATCAATCCAGGTTTCTCATCTGCACACATGTTTGTTTCCAATTGAAAACCAATAGGCTCAGATTCATCTCCATTCTCAGGCATGATTAGGTGACCAGCCAAACGGAGGGTTGAAGTTGACGACTCCTTGTCCCATAAGATCAAATATTTGTATTTTTGTGACATGGGCGCGTTTTCACGTGACAACTCAAACTTATTTGTTCCAGCCGAAAGATAGTAACGGAAACCAGGGGGAAAGAGGCTATCATCGCGACCCAGGCTGTAAGCAAGCACTTTACCGATATTTGACTCAAGAGTGTAATTTGACTTTACTTCTTCTTCTACAATCCGATTCCAAGAAACTGTGCTCACTTTTGTTTGTCTATCATAATGCGACATAAATGAAAATATGCGGAAAAATGAAATGCCTCCGTGAAAAGCCTTAGAATCTAGCGAAATCTTTACGGAATGTATGAGCAGTTTGAAAAAATGTAGGTAAGATTGCAAATCTAGGCTGCTGGCTATCAGATATTGGCCAGTTTTACAGACGAATTCTTGTGAAGTCGTCAATTTCATGTCACCCCTGGAATAGTTTGTTGATAATTTTGCTCTAGAATCTCCCTTTATGAGGCGCATCTTGAGCGTGGCCTCCTCGGAATTTGCCGAGTATGCTATATCCAAGTCGGATACACGCGCATCTTCTGTGACATCCTGCTTTTGCTCAAAATTGGCGCTGTATTTATGGGAAATAGTACCACCGGTTTTCATGTTTCCACTGCCCACAAATGTGATGGAATGTGGCTCTCCGGGGCTATTTAAATTCAGCTTGTTGTCCAAAAGAATTGTCACAACTTCACTGCCACCCTGCAGTTCCAGATCCGCAGTTATCATGCAGGTTCTTACCGCACAATTGGTTACGATCACCGTGCCAGAGCCGTAAAGGCTGTGCATCGAGTCCATAGTGGCCGTTATTGTGAATTTCTCAAGATCCTGTATTTCTAATTCAAAAGCTGTCTGTTGTGACTTGCCCGCCATAGTGAACTTAATGCGGAATGGATCGCCGTTTAGAAAGAGTTTTCCTCCAGAGACGTCTTTTCCGACCAGGTCACCAAATACTTCGAAGTTGTAGTCATCGGTTTCACTTCTCATTCTTTTGACCTCTAAGAGAGTTTGAGGTAGGTAGATCGCGTCGCTGTCCAGTTCCACACTCAGCTTGCCTTCTTGCAACGGTTCTGCGGGTCCAGAACCTCGAGCTAATGCTTCCAGCAGAAATGCGTTAAATTTAATTTCTGCCTTGCGGAATTGAGCCACTGCGTAGTGATTAGTGTAGGCCAAGTGGACGATTCTGTTGGAATGGCCGTATTCGGGCTCATCTACAGGCTCAAGCATGTTTAGGTAGCGCAGTTTAATGTCTACTCTATTTAGCCGCCTCGGAATCCGTAAAGTGATGTCCAGATGCCAGTTATTCAACGCCCATTTGGCTAACTCGACTTGACTTACAAACGCCAGCTCATAAACTTGAGGATCTTTGTCGAAAATGAACTTTAACGTTGGTTTAGCGTCAGGCTTGTATAGGAATATTGCCTCAATTTTGCGCTTGCCGTTAATAG